TCTTTCTCTAATGGTTAGTGACTTGTTGGACATGTGTTGGTTTGTTATGATTGATTTATTTCTTTTCCCCTAACATGGATTATTCAATCTATGTTTAAGCATGTTTCCTCATTAAAGCTTTGGGGAAGGTATTTAGTCATGTTTGGTAGGATTTTGATTCATGTATGCCATTCACTTGAGTATATTCATTTCCATATCTTTTCCTATATTTCAAAAAATCCAAAATGATTTTTGTTTACTTTCAAGGTAATTTTGGAAAATGTATTTTGTTAGTTCTTGTGGACATTCTATTTTGAGACTTGGATCCTTAAATGTTTTTCTTCGTATGTGACAAATGTGTGCACGGTTTGAGAGTGTCATTTGTTGACTCTAGGATGCTATATGCTAGGGTAGCCGGTTTAAGATCTTTTGGGTTCCATGAAGCCTTAGTTCACGGGAATGTGGTAAGATGGAGTTACTCTCTATAGTGGATTTGAAGCCATTTAGTTGGTAATTGCTTTATATTCCTTGTGAGCTTCATTAGTTCTAGCCTTTATAACCTTGTTGAGTGGTAATTAAGGATCCTTAGCTATGCATGTCTTAATCCTTGTTATGAGTTCTAGCTCCCAAAATCGTGACCGAGCTAGCTAGTTTAGGAGAGGACAAGGGAATTGTTCATTTTATTTATTTTCTTTTTGTTTTGTTACATATTTTGTTTTTATTTTTCATTTGCCTTTCTTGCTACCCCTTTGAGCCTATTCCCTTTCTTTATTATGAGCCACATTACAAGCCTAATGACCTTTCGTTTCCCTAACAATTTAGTTTTGTGACACGTGTCATTAGGTGAGAGATCCAGTTGGACCTCCCGGAGGCTAACACGTGTCAACTTTTTATAGGGCCATGTGTCTTGGGTAATACCCAAAACATTTTCCCCTTACAAATGTGACGTGGCTTTCCATGAGGCATTTGTGGTATTTGTCACACATGCGTCTGGGAAATTTACAGGGTTGCCACTGGATTCACTCGGCTTAAATATTATCATTTCCACTCATTTTTTTCATGTTCACGAATAAACATTTGAGAGAATCTGAGAGAATTTTTTACTTTTCTCAAAAGAACATTTCCGCCTGCCGCTTGCTTTAATCCGTTTGACACAATTCAAGCACTTTCACAAGGTAACCGCCTGCTATTTATTTCTCTTTATATTTCGCTTTTCCGTATGTGCTTGTTTTTCCCTTTTTATAAATGGTATCACAAACACACACGGCTCGGCCTAGAATAGCTGTCAGTTGGTCACTTAGGACGGTTGAATTTAGGACTAGGGGTGCCGCTTTCCCCAATCTTCACTTGTCTCTGAATCCGACCGTAACTATGTTTGTGCAGGACACTATGACCAGAACTAAGAGGACAACTCAAGCTTCCTTTGATGACGAGGATGAGAGTCCTATTAGGTTTCCTAGAAATGAAATCTCCTACCATCCGTCTAGCATCCTAACTACGCCAGATGACTCTATTTTGGAGGAGTCAAAAAGTGAGTCTATCGAAGAGACTTCCGGCTCCGGACATGGGTCGTCCCAGTTGAATGCTATCTCAGGTGGTCCTAGAAGCAAAGAGTGGCCGCCTGAGGCTGTTGAAGAGGAATCCGAAGAGGAAGCCGCCTCTATTAAGCGAGACCAAGAGGATACTTATTCTTATCTTCAAGAGAAGTACACCACGTACTTCTCTCACATTTTCGCTACAACACAATGGCTTATGTAGAAAAACTTAAAAGAGATCCAAGACACCTATGTGATGGGAGCCGGTTATAAAATAAACGTCCCAGCTCTTGGCGACACAGTATTCTGGCTGCCTAAACAAAGCTATGGGGATTCTTAATTTGGATGTTATGTAGGCACAATATAGGCGGGCCTTTGATTCCCACTAGATCCGGCCATCGAAAAGATCTTTGGCGTGTATTGTCTGGGTGTATGGCAGCTAGCACCCAATTCTTGGGTCAATATTTTAGGATTTGTGTTTGCTTGTAGGATGCAAGGAGTTGAGCCTAGCTTTGAGGCATTCGCCCATACGCATTACCTTAGTAAAGCTCCTTAGTCATCTAGACCCAGCTAGTTCACTTTATTTTGTAACAAAGGTTACATGATAACTTTGGGGAAAGAGAATAAGTATAAAGATTGGAGGAATGAATTTTGCATCATCTCTTCCCTAGACACCATTCGAAATAAGAAATTCAACTCTTAGAGCCAGATTCCGTATCTTTTGGGTCAAAAAGCAATTTTCCCGCCTGTGTCTATGATCAAGGGCGGAGACTAGGTCATTGAAAACTAATCTACCCTCGGTCAAAACTAAATTTGTAATCTCTCAACACACCCTAATACCTAGCATAGGAGAGAGTAGAGGGTCGAACCACTAGGAATGGGAGACGAATGCTAATGCTAAAGCTAAGCTTTCTCGAAGTAATGAAGTTAGGTGTGTATACTCTAAACAATAAAGAAGAAATCAAATAATATAAAGAACTAGGGTTAGGATCTGTAAATACTCGGAATGAATATAACTAATTTGGATTGGAGATGACTAAGTCTAGTGTTGCGAGGTAAAATCAATTAAGCAATCAAGAGAGTATGGTAAGCTAATCTTCTAGAGGTCAAACTAGCGTCAACTAAGAGAGACTCTAACTAGGAACCTTGCAAACATACTCAATCGTCAAAAGCATACCACAAATCAATTGTCCGTATCAATGCGAGCATACAATACATTCTAGTATAACAATCAAATTTAGCTACTCTTTAATAAATCACACACATGCACTTAATCAATCAACCAATTTAATCACAACATCAACTCCATAAATTTCCCCAATTAGCATCAATCCATTACTCATATATGCTTCACCATTCCCCTAGCAAGAGGACTACTCACAATCCATAGAAATTAAGATCAAAACTAAGCTAATTAACAATTTCATCATCATCACATCCATAAAACTAATTCAATAACAAATTCAATTTAAACTTTAACAATCAACAAAAAATTGAAATGATAACCTAAAGATTGCATTAAAGTAAAAGAAATCCTTACAAACTTGCTTCAATTCAATGGAGAAAATGATAGAATTATCAATCTTCAATCATCAATCAAGAACTTCTCTCTCTACAATCTGGAGTTTCTCTCTCTAAAATTCTAATTCTAATTCTAATTCTTTTCTCAAGTCTATTCTAATCATCATCTCTCTAAAAATATAATTAAAGTTTATACATAATAAAACTAACAAAGAGAAATTAGTTACATCGTCCCCAAATAAACTCGTACAGGCGCGGCCAGCTAAAAGAAAAAGCGTGGCCGCGCAAATCTGGGTACGGAACAGAGACCCAGAAAGGCGCGCTCGCGCTACCAGGTCTCTTCGTGCCCCCTTCAGCATCAAGTCGATGCTCCTCGTACTTTCCACTCAATGCTCTTGATAAACACGGGACCTTGTAGTTTCCAAACTCCATGTTTGTGGGTTCAACACGAGAAATAATGCCCCCACGGCTTGAATGCACAACCTAAGGCCTTTAAGAACTTTCACTTCTCCATGCTTAAGCTTCAAATGGAGAACATTAGGCATCCTAATCAATGCAAAACTTGGGAAGAGACCTCGGGAATCTTGGATAACGACCTTATCCTGAAAATTGAAGGAAAACAAGCAAATAAAAGAGAAAATAACGAAATAAACCAAGAAATGTATAAAGAAAGAACTCTAACTAGGAAAATTCAAACTTAAAGAAATAAAGAGTAAATTTAAGGAAAGGGGCTATAGAATAGCATGAATTTCATCCTATAGTGAACCAAATGATTGCCATAAATGACACTCATCGAATTCCCCCAAGCTAAACTATTGCTCGTCCCCGATAAAAACAAATCAAGAAAGAATAAGGATGAAAGACTTATTCAAAAAGAAAAAGAAAGACATAAGACGGGAATATACACTAAGACTCACTAACGTAGGGATCACGGTTGTTTTTAGCTACAACAAGCCCTTTAAACCCCAAAGTGGCCTATGAAGACGAGTGAGGTCTCGTAAAGGTTTCCGAAGAGTTTCACCTATGACTCTCCACCAACATACATGAGGCAAACCACAAAAAAGGAAAGTAAAAGAAAGAAAAGCAAAATTGAAACCTTCACTAGTTGGACTTTACAAAATTTCTACATTTCAAATGAATAAACATCTTTCTTAAGCAAATAAGGGTATGCACGTTTCAAGATATCCGAGAATGATTGAAACATAGAGTATGCTAAGAATAGATAACTAGTTATGACAATTCACCTTCATCCAATTCGATCTTACCGCGTTCTCCCTATAGTCTCAAATCTCCCTCTAATGAGCATCTCAATAGCTCCTCGAAGGAGCCGGAAAAGAACACATTTTTGGGCTACTCGACGTCTTGACTATGCATCCCCTCTCTTTATGATGTAACTCATAATGCCCTCCCTTGAAATGTGACTCAACCTCTAGGTCGAAAGGTCTTTCCTAATGGTTGTAACGTAAGGGCAAAAGGGGTGAGGGTAGGCTTAAAATTTTAAAATTTGGCGGTATTCCTATTTAGTGAAGCAAAGGGTGATCAAACCTTATCCTCTTAACCAAGAAATCACAAACAAATACAAACTAACTCCCCCAAGCTTATTCAAAGCTATAACCACAAGCATATATACAAAAAGTGCAAACGCTTCTCCCCAAAACATAAAGGAAGCATTGTCCTTAATGCTTGAAAAGGAAAATAATCACATCAAAATATTTTTGGATTTTCTCATTTTTCAACTTCTTTTTTTTTATTTTTTTTATTTTTTTTTCTTTTTTTTATTCATGCATTGATGGCAATAGTTTTCGCCTCTTATGACCTTGGACAACTTTTCCAAATTGCATTTATTAATTCCTTGCCTTTTTTAACTTAGGACGGCTTGTTCCATAATTCAATTGCCATTATTCACAATATATATATATATATATATATAAAAAAAAAAAAAAAAAAAAAAAAAAAAAAAAAAAAAACCTTGCTTACAAATAGAACAAATATCCAACCTTATACCCCAATAACTCCGAAAACATGACCATTGCTTCACAAAAACCAAAAATGGAACAAAAAGAAACAAAAGGGTCAAAGTTCTAAAGATGTTGCTTGCAAAGAAGGGAAAAGGCTCAAATGTTTAGTAAGAAGGCAAATGTAAAGTAAATGATCTGAAACGAAAGAAAATTAACCTAGAAAAGAAAATTTACCACCCCGAAAAGATGCCTTTGTCATCCCTTATTGGTTCGGTCTCGTGTTCGAGAATTATGAGTCAAGATTCAAGATTAGGTTCGCAACAGTCAAGGATCCATGCCGCACATGCAAATAAATGTAGAAGGCTTGAAAAATAATGAATCTCACATGGATGTAGCAAAAACTCACTATAGGTGTCAAATCGACCATGGGAAGCAACTACCAACATGCCACAAACAAGTAGAATCTGGTTTCATGATCCTCCTAGTTCTTAGACATGCTACCTTAGCATAAACCTATCCTAGAGACAACCAAGCATATTCTCAAAACCGTGCATACCCATACTATTTAGGAAGATATTTATTCAAAAGAAAAAATCGGTTGTATATAATCTAATTCAAAAGAAAAACAAAAAGTGACAAATAAAGCCTCAAAACACACCAAAAACCAAAAACAAGAAGAAAGAAAAATAAAAGACAAGGAAGGAGAAAAAGAAAAATATAGACAAAGAAAAAGAAGGAAAGTAAAGAATGGAACGAATATGCAAGTATAACACGTAAATCCCAATCAACAAACAAGTGATCAAATGACAACATCGCCAATGATCCTAAACACTCTAGGTGTTAAAGCATCCATCCTCAAACCATTCAACTTCTCCTAAAACTAATCCTAAACTATGCATCCAAGAAAATAAAAGATATAAAGAAAAATAAGAAAGATCTCACCGGCTTCCGAGCAACGCAAAAATAGTAAGGTGAAGAATCAATCACCTCATGAAGCTCCAAGAAACAAAGCATCATCATCAAAGCCATATGAGAAAAAAAATAGAAAAGAGAACTATAGACAAAGAAAACGGTTAGTAACTTCAAAACAAAAGAAAAGAAAAGAAAACGAAAACGAAAGAAACTAATAAGCAAAAATAAGCTAAACTAACCTACCAAGAAAGGAAAGATAAGAAAATAAGAACTAAATAACCAACTAAACATCTAACTAATCAACAAAGTATTAAGCTACAAAATTTGGATTCAAGGGATTGGATTCATGGGATTTGGATATTAGGGGGTTGGATTCTAGGGAGCAACACATGCATCATCATTAATGAAAAATCATTACGACAACAAGATCAAGAATGAGCAAACACAATCAAAGAGGAATCAAGAAAGAGACCATCATACAAAGAAGCAAACGAAACAAGGCAAGCTTCAACAACAAATTGGCCACCGAGATAAACCCCTAAGAAAAGGAAAGTTCCCCCAAGCTAAACATAGATACATCTTAACATCCCATCAATACGAAACAAGCACACATAAGACAAGGGATGGAGGAAAATGGCACAAAAATGAGGGAACTAGCTACCACTACCACTCGGCCCGGAGCCATCATTGTTATCCCTATCAAAGGAAAACCCAGATGGGGGACCATAAGGATCCCATTCCCCGGTGTAACCGGGTGGCTAACCATAATGCCCCCTAAAGTTATCTTGTTGCAAAGGGGAAAGGGGAGTGAATTGCTCGGGCAAGGCAAGCGGTATTGGGTGCTCGAGGTGTACATAGGGGTAGTTAGGATCACCCGTATAGTCGTTCCCACCGGGAACACGGTAATCATAGTTACCGTGCTCATCTGGGAATGAGCGAGTCTCGGTGTTGGACCCCGGGGGTCTTTGCCAATATGGGTACGTGGGTACCCCATCACCACCAAAAGATGGTACATGACCATATTGGGGTGGAAAGTAATGGTAGTTAATCGGGGGAGTGATGTCTCCCCGGTTAACACCCGCATCATATAAATGTTGTAGGGGAGAAACATACCTTGTTGCATTTCCGAAATCCCTCTCATTTGAGAGTACAGGGCCTCAAATTCTTGATCATACATGCCCTCCAACCGGATTTGCATGCCCTTTATTTGAGCGCGAAGGTTATCCAAGTCGGAGTTAGCAAATTGGTGATGTTGTTCTTGATGTTTTTGTTGTTGCTGTTGCGGCTCTTCTTCCTCTTCTTCACCCATCTCTTAATCATCATCATAGTAGGGAGGGCGGTGACTTTTGGAGACATGCCAAATGTTTGCCACATTCTCGCGGTGGAGAGAAGTCAAGGAGGGGTTAGGGAGATAGCACCAATGCGTGTTATCCCGAAGCCAATCAAACACCTCATCATCCTCATTCTTTGCTAAGAACTGAATTTGCTTCAATTGTCGGACGTCAAGGTAGAGAGAATCAATATCCCCCATCAGAGTGCAAGACGACAAATAGTGCCCGAGCTTAAGGTTGGTCAATAGCCTGTGACCATGCTTCCACAAGGGATTTCACCGGAATCCCTATCTTGCAATCCTTGGAAATACTTGAAAATTGTGTACCCCAAATTTATAAGACCTCGGTACTCTTCACGAGTAGCCACCCAAAGAATCTGAAGCTCCAACTGACTCATTTTACCCAATTCTTGCTTCGGAAACACCGAATACCCCAAAAGCCGATGGAGAACTAGGAGACATGGTTGGTACAACTTAATAATCTTGGTATACCAGGTCACAAAGTCACCACACCCAGAAATGTCGTCCTACCATGAGTTTTGATCATACTAATCATTGAAAAAGAGCTCGGGATCCAAAATATCCTAGTTTGGATCGAAGTCTAGAGCCGCATTGAACTCTTCAAGAGATTGATCAAATTGAATGTTGAAAAGTTGAAACTTAACTTGGTAATAATCTCCCTCAGCCACAACAAGATTAACCGTAGCCAAGAAATCCAAAGTAGGTTGAACATAGGTGCGGAAGCTCCGGCTCACGAATGATCCCATACGGAGGTTGTTGAGCAATTCCCTTAAGTCTTCATCAATTCCCAACTTTATCATGTCCTGTTGGAAGTAATGGCGGGAAGGTTTAAGGGAACAGTTTTCTTTAAGATTTGTGTATCTAGCCTTTTGAATGGGGTCGGTAATTCGTAGTTTGGGGATAGGGGTAGGTTGGCGAGGTTATGAGGTAGAGGGGGAAGGAGAGGGTTCTTCAATGGTTACATTGGTATTTCGTTTCTTGAGGAGGCCTTTAATGTATTTAGACATGGTGAATTCTCGAAGATAGTAGCTTCACAATCCAATCACAATACACCACAAACACCAACCAACAATTCATGATGCCTTAATCACACTCCTTTACCAACAGCGTCAAGCAACAACTCACTACAAAAATCAAACAACCCCAAAGTTACACAATCACCACCAATTCAAGTCAACAATTGCATTCCAACCATACACCAATCATAAAGAAACCAATAACCAATGCTCAACAATATCAATGTCGCACTACCAAAAATTCGACCTAAACAATTTTCAACAATCAAGCTCAATATAGCTACAAAAACATCAAACAACACAATGTGAGGCAATAACAATCAACAACAACTACCAAAATCCAAACTACTACTATTCACAACTATCAACAATCCAATACTTGCAACTATATGTTATAATTATTCAATTAAGAGTAGAAGAAGATGTTTATACCATACAAGATGTAAGATTGAACAAGATTTGGCCACCAATTCCCTCACAAACGAAAAAGCCCCAATTTGCTTCAACAATGGATGAGAGAGATTAAAGCTTGAAATAGATGAAAATAGTGTAGTCTTTGTTGAAAAAGATGAAAATGTGGAAAGATTTGATGATTCTTGATTAAAAATTGGTTGAATTTGTGATGAAATTTGATGAATGGAGTTAGGGTTTTTGCGGTTTCAAGAGTGACATGTGAGGGGTGTGCGTTTGAATGAGATAGGGAACAAGGAGAAATGAGGAAAAGAAAGGAAAAGAAAAAAGTTAAGGCTCGGCCTGCAGGGGTGCGCGTTCACGCAGCCAAGCTGCGCGCCCGCGCCCTCTCCTGGAGCGCCCGCGCCACTCATATAGCTCGGTTTTTTGCTTCTTTGTAGCGTTCATCTGTGGGCTTATCGTTCAATATCATCCCAGGATTTTTAAACCCATCGTAATGATCAGGTTCTAAACATGAAGAATGTAGGTTCAACACCCCTACAAAAATGATAGCACCACAATAAAGTCACCAAGTTCAAATTTCCTTTAAATTTTGGCACAATTTCCCTATCTTACCTCACCGATATTTCTTACCCTTGTTACGTAAAAAATCGATAAAATCGAAAATACATCACATTGAAAACTGCAAAACCTCCTATCCATTGCTCGTGCTCGTTTGAATTAATCCATCACTATGAATTACCCTATAATTCCAAAAAAAAAAAAACAAGTGAAAGAAAAGAAACTAAAAGAAAGAAAATTAAGAAAAAAGAAATCAAAAGAATAGATTAGAAATCTCCAAGTTGCCTCCCGGGAAGCGCTTGCTTAAGTACCTAAGCTCGAGCCTTCCTCCGAATAATAGAGGGTTAAAGGACACCACCTTACTCAAAGGTGTGGAAAGTAAAAACTTCTCTTTAATTTGTAGCAACTCCTTGTTGTTGGTTGATGAAACCTCATTTTCTTAAACTTTAAAAACAACCTCCTCATTCTTCAACTTCAATCTCATCCACTTCTTCCTAGAAGCCCTTGCCTTCTTCTTGGCCTTGTTCCTTCTTGTAGACGGGTTAACACCATCCACTTCCTTGGAACCATCCTCCTCCTCTTGAGGACAAAGCTCAAACTAATGTGGAATGTCAATTACCTCTTCAACCTTGACCTTTGAAAGCTTTTCTTCTTCACTAACTTTCATGCCATCAAACTTCACAAGAACATGAGGATTCATGACTTCTTTTACAAAAGACAAGGATTCATGCATGTTTTTAGCTTAAAAATCTCTTTTTCATTACCAACCCTCAAAATGATACGGCCTCCCTTAACATTTATTAGAGCACCCGAAGTAGCTAAGAATGGTCTTCCTAGAATAATAGGAATGTTGTCATCCTCCTCAATTTCTAGCACAATAAAATCTACGGGAATTGTGAAACCGCCTATCCTAAGGGGAACATCTTCAACTCTTCCTTTTGGGAACATAATAGATCTATCGGCCAATTGCAAGGTCATGTTCGTAGGAAGAAGTTCTCCTAGCTTAAGCTTCTTGAACACCGAGTAAGGCATAATGCTAACACTAGCACCTAAGTCACACAAAGCATTTCAAAACAACTTACTCTTGATCTTGCAAGGAATAGAGAAATTGCCCAGATCCTTCATCTTCTTTGGTAGGTCATTGTGAATCAATGCACTACAACACTCACCAAGCTCTACCGAATCTATCTCATTGCACTCTCTCTTTCCACTCAAAATATCCTTAAGGAATTTGGAATATCTAGGCATTTGGGTCATAGCTTCGGTGAGAGGGATAGAAAGATGGATCTCCTTCAACATGTCAAGAAATCTCCTAAATTTTTCATCTAACTTGTTCCTCATAAAATTTTGGGTATATGGAAGGTCGGGTTTTCTCACTTCCTCTTGCACTCTCTCAACACTCTTCTTTTTCTCATGGACCTCCTCTTTGCTCACACTCTTTGACACATCTTTCTCTTTTTCCTCACTTGAATCACAATAACTCTTCCTCTCATCCTCATCACTATTCCTAGAAACTCTCTCTTCAAGCACTTTTCAACTCCTTGTGGTGATAAAATAAACGGGTTTCTTAGGATCAACTCCTTAAGAGGGTAGTGAAGAAAGGATAGCTCAATCTTTCAAAGTGTTGGCTAGTTGAGTGATTTGGGTTTCAAGAATCTTGTTGTGTGGCATTATCTCATTGAACTTCTTATTACTCACCGACATGTAGGTGTTCAAAATCTTGGTTTGGTTCTCAATGATCTCCTCTAAGGTAGTCTTGGAAGATGGGGGTTGAGCATAAGAATTATCACCATTTCCTTGAGGTCTTGGAGAAAATCCAGGTGGGGGTCCCCTTTGGTTGTTGCTTTGAAAATTTCCCCTATTTTGATTGTTCAAATTACCTCAGCCTTGATTATTACCAAAATTTTGGTGTTGGCCACCAAAGCAATGAGATTGGCCTTGATTTCCATACCCTTGGTTTTTGTTTAGATTACTATAAACTTGGTTAATATAGTTACCTTAAAAACCTTGATTTCCTTGGTTCCTATAACCACCATTGTTGTAGTTATCAAAACTCCTTTATTGGTGAGAATTCCTATTCCCCAAATTCCTTAGATCATCAAATCTTTGTCCATTTTTATTATTAGAAACAAAAGTCACTTGCTCAACATCATCACAATTCTCAAAAGAATTTGGACAATTTGAAGAATCATGGTCATAAGAGACACAAACATCACAAAAGACACAACCACTTGGCATATTACTCGAAGTAGAAGGAGGATTGGAGTTAGAAGGTGTACCTCTCCCTTTTAAGTGGGACGGAAGACTTGGTGCAATCAAAGAGGCTTTAATCAATTTCATCTCCTTTCCCTAGTTTGAGATTTGGGAAGACAAGTTATTGATTGCATTAAGATGATCAACCGATTAAAATCTTGAGCCACTCTTGCTTACGGACTCTCCCCCTCCCTCTTGCCAATCCATGTAGTGACAAACTACATCATCAATTATATCTACAACCACTTCTTCATCCTTGTTCATAATCGGGCCTCCGGCTTCGGCATCAAGACACGACTTCCCTTGGGGGCTTAATCCTCCATAGAAAATTTATATGATTTGATAGGTTAGAATTCCATGATGAGGTCATTCTCGTTGATACTCCTTGTATCTTTCCCAAGCCTCATACAAACTCTCACTAGGATTTTGCTTGAAACTTTGGATTAGAGTTCTTGCCTCGGCGGTTTTCTTTTGAGGATATAAGTGAGAAAGAAGCTCATTAGTAACCTCATCCAAATTTCTTAAAGAATTAGGTTTCACTTCCTTGTCCAACCATTCCAAAGCCCTTCCGATTAGAGAAAATGGAAATAGTTTGAGCCTTATGAAATCTTGAGAAACCCCATTGAACTTGATGGTAATACAATACTTCTCGAACTCTTTGAGATGGTTTAGTGGGCTTTCATGCCTAGCTCAACTAAATTGCCTTCATTCTATCATCGTTATCTTTGTCGGCCTTATCTCAGTCATTGGTGCGAGTTATTGGTGGAGCTATGCCACTCTTAAACCTATAAGTGTCGGGAGTTCCCAACTCCTTCAAATCAACTCTTGGATTAGCTCCCATGCTTACTCGATCCTCCTCTTCTCTTTCTTGGTGAATTTCCTCTCTTGGAGAGCTTGGACTCAAAGAACGATTAGCAACCCTTATCCTTGTTATTGTTCTCTCAATTTTTGGATCAAATGGCACTAAAGTCCTTCCTTTTATCCTACGCATACAAAAAACTCAAAGCAAATATCAATAGCACGGCTACAAATGTAGCCTAAAGAGAAAAATCTTTTTGTATTTTTGAAATTAAGTTAAATAGACTCAACAACAATAGAAAACAACTACGGCATTCCTCGGAAATGGCGCCATTTTCGATCAAGGGCAGAGACTAGGTCGTTGAAAACTAATCTACCCTTGGTCAAAACAAAATTTGTAATCTCTCAACACACCCTTATACCTAGCATAGGAGTAAGTCGAGGGTCGAACCACTAAGAATGGGAGATGAATGTTAATGCTAAAGCTAAGCTATCTCGAAGTAATGAAGTAAGGTATGTATAATCCAAACAATCAAACAATCAAGAAGAAATCAAATAATATCAAGCACTAGGGTTAGGATCCGCATATACTCAGAGTGGATCACTACTACAAACAAGGCCTTAGAGAACTGTTATAATAGGCTTTATAGATCACCTTAGGGGCGTTCTTCTGCTAGGCGATGTATAAAGTATAGAGAACGGGTTGTTTAGGCGTTTTATATAATCACATATAGAGAATGGTTGTTAGTCACAACCGTTCTCTTTTCCCTTCTTAAATTCGTACCATAAGGAATGAATAAAGAACATTTTGGGCCACTTAACCAATCTATATTGCATTACAATAGAGAACGATTAAGTTAGATAACAGTTCTCTAATGTGTTTTTTTTTTAAATATCCAGCCATATGTATTTCGAATTACCCCTGTACGTATTTTATATTGTAATATTCATGTATTTTAATAATCTGTATTATTTTTGTATTTCATTTTAGACCTGTATTTGTTGTATTCCGATTTTTTATCTTGTACATTTATCTTGTTAGAAAATTTTCACATTTCCTATGTAAAAATAAATTCATGATCCTGTATACATGCAATATAAATTTCTGTATAATAAAATTAACAAAAATATTTCCAGATACGACGAAAGCCATCAAAATATACTTCATATATATAATTTAGAACATCCAACCACAATTAAATTAAATCATCCATACAAAATTTGTTCTATACAAATAAGTCCCTGAGTTTAATATCAAAACACCTTTCTAGTTAATGTTGATTTAAAAAAAATAATGCTTAGATATACCAATACCATATTGATCTACAATTCACATAGGGATGACAACTTAGATAGCAAATCTCTCTTTGGCTCAGATTTTGCTAACAATCTTCAAGGCTAACTTCATTGGTATCAAATGATCAGCACCTTCCAGTAGAAAATCATTAGGAAAACTTGTTATCGATTCCAACAAGAACATTCACATTTTCTAAACAACCTCAACAACAACATTATAAGAAAGGGAAACAAAAAATTTCATACCGGAATTTTTTTAATTTGGCCAAGCATATGATGATCTAAGGAAATATTGGTTTTCTATATGAATGAAATGTTGAGCAGATCTGATTGCTTTAATGTATGTTATTTGGATGCTCTTGTCTATCACCAAATTCTTCGCACAAACCAGGTTCTGTAAGGAATACAAGTACATTGAGTCCAAATTGGCTTCATTATCGAAAATACATAGCTAACAGTACAGTTAGTGCAAAAGAAAAACATCGTGTCAACAAACCTGAGACTCAGCCTCCTGAACATCCTTTGGAAATCCTTGTACAGAACCTGAATCTATAGACCAAACAACCTACATCAACACAGTTTTAGATAAAGGTTAAAATTAGTAGCACTTTTAGGTACTACTTCCATTCTTCTAAATGTTGGTTGAATTTAACTTATATTGAAGGAAAAGCTAGATAAAGAAAAGAGTATAAAAAAGATACATACGGAGTATTTTATAAATGGCTGTTATTCTGCAATGTCACCATGTCTTTCATTGGAAGACTTAGGAAAAGTGCCTGTGAACTGTTAAGAGATGGATAAGTTGACGTTATAGTTTCAAAAGTAGGATGCATATATAATCAACAAATATTACTAGTGTTAGGGAAGGAGGGGCACTAACGTATCAAGTTCAACTCTTCACAATCAACCAACAAGAAATTTTCCTTTAATCAACTTTGCCACCTTATTATTATTATAAATTCACTTCCATAAGATTATGATTTCCTACTCTTCTCTCTTCACAATCAGCTACCTAAAATCCACAAACACCATGACTACTCTTATACATCACTAGAATTAGATTAAATCATCACTGAATTTCAATCACCGCATCTCATAACCAACCCTTTTATGAAAGAAAAGCAAAGCAAATCAATTTTTCTAAAATAATTTGCAAATTAAAGTATTTAAAATTAATAAATAAATTTCCCCTACCCATCTTTCTTTATCTAATTAGGGTTCTATATTTGACCTAGGTAAGAATAGTTTGACGAAAATAATTTTGATTAATACTGAAATTTCTTGCAATTCAAATAAATTAAGTGTAATTTAATTAAAAAAAAACTGCAATTTTATTGAATTATTTGCGTTTATAAGAATCGATTGAATTATTACCCAAAAACTAAAATTGTGAATTTTTTTTTAATCCACCAAAAATTCGATCGAAATTACTGTAATGGATGAAAAATATGAATTCACTACAACTGAATTGAAAAATTCGATTGATTAATACAACTAGATTGACAAACTCATCTGAATCAAGAAAAATTTGAATGAATTACCTGGAAAGTGCTATGGTGGTATAGCGGAGCGGAGCAGTGCAGTGCGGTGAAGTAGACATTCAATAGTTTGGCGGTGGGACGATAGTGGGACGGTGGAACGACGGTGGGGAGATGGGGCGACGGCGGGCTGGTAGGGCGACGAAGCAGTTATTGGTGAATTGAGCAACATGAGGTTTCACTTTTCATCTTATTTTTTGAGGTAGTAAGCAGTTGATAGTTTGATACTCTAGTGAATAGTGATAGTGCAATATAAAAGCGTTTGAATTATATTAGGCAGCCTTTGAATATTTAGGGTAATTCTAAATATCCCAATGGTCCACATAAATATCCCTCCAATTTTTTTTAGAAAAATATAGAATAAAAAAAAATACAAAACGGTTGTCAACCGTTCTCTATCATCTAAAATGAATAATTATTTGTTTTTTATTATTTGAGTAAAAAAATAGAGAACGGTTAATTATTCTAACCGTTCTATATTTAATAACTCATAAAACGCCTTTTGTACAAATGCGTTCTATATTCTTCTGGAGAACGCCTATCTTTGATAACCGTTTTATATTTTTTGATATGTACTCTATTTTTTTGTGGTAGTGGATATAGCTAATTGGGATTGGAGATGTCTAAGTAAAGTGTTTTGAGGGAAAATAAATTAAGCAATCAAGAGATTATGGTAAGCTAATCTCCTAGAGGTCAAGCTAGTGTCAACTACGAGAGACTCTACCTAGGAACCTTGCAAACTGATGAGTGTCATTTATAACACTCATTTGGTTCTTTTTAGGGTGAATTTCATGTTATTCTATAACTCTTTTACTTATCTTTTCCTTGATTTTACTCTTTATTTCTTTTAGTTTGCATTTTCTTAGTTGGATTTCTTTCTTTATGCATTTCTTGGTTTATTTTGTTATTTTTAGTTTTATTTGCTTGTTTTCCTTTATTTTTTCAGGTTAAGGTCATTATCCAAGTTTCCCGAGGCCTCTTCCCAAGTTCGGCATTGATTAGGATGTCTAGTGCTCTCCATTTGAAGCTTAAGCACAGAGAAGTGCAAGTTCCTAAGTCCTTGAGTTGTGCATTCAAGCCGTGGGGCATGATTTCTAGTTTTGAACCCGCAAACATGGAGTTTAGAAACTGAAAGGTCCCATGTTTATCAAGATCATTAAGTGGAATGCAAGAGAAGCATCGGAATAATGGGGAAGAAGGTTGCCCTGCTCCCAAGCCTAATAGCGCGGGCGCGCCTCCCTCGGGAGCAAGCGCGCCTATCTAGGTCCCTGTTCCGTACCTAGATTTGCGCGGCCGCGCCCTCCCTTATGGTTTGCCTCGCCTGTATGCGTTTATTTGGGGACTATTTAACTAACCTGTCTTAGTTATTTTACTATATATAGATTTTCTTTCTATTTTTAGAGAAGAATGATTAGAGAAGAAAATTAGGGAATTAATTCAGAAATTAGAATTAGAATTTTAGAGAGAGAAACTCTAGATCTTAGAGAGAGAATTTTGTGATTGTTGATTGATGATTGTTAATTCTAGCACTTCCTCCATTGAATTGAAGCAAGTTTGTAAGAATTTCTTTTACTTTAATGTAATTTTTAGCTTATCATTTCAATTGCTTTGTTGATTGTTCAAGTTTTAATTGAATTTGTGTTTGAATTGGTTTTATTGATATGATGATGATGAAATTTTTTATTAGCATAGTTTTGATATTAATTTCAATGGATTGTGAGTAGTTCTCTTGCTAGGGGAATAGTGAAGCATGTATGAGTGATGGATTGATGCTAATTGGGGGAAATTGATGTAGTTAACGTTGTGATTAAATTGGTTGATTGATTAAGTGTATAAGTGTGATTAATTGAAGAGTAGCTAAGTTTGATTGTTACACTATAATGCATTGTAAGCTTGCATTGATACGGAAAATTGATTTGTAGCTTGCTTTTGTCGATTAAGTAGGTTTGCAAGGTTCCTAGTTAGAGTCTCTCGTAGTTGGCGCTAGCTTCACCTCTAGGAGATTAGCCTACCTTACTCTCTTGATTTCTTAGTTGCTTTTCCCTCGCAGCACTTGACTTAGACATCTCCAATCTCAATTAGCTATGTCCATTCCGAGTATATGCAGATCCTAACCCCAGTGCTTATTAAATTTGATTTCATTTCGATTGTTTGATTGTTTTGAATACACACACCTCACTTTATCGCTTCGAACTAGCTTAGCTTTGACTTTAGCATTCATTTCCCATTCCTATTGGTTCGACCCTCGACTTACTCTATGCTTTGTGTAGGGGTGTGTTAAGATATTATAAATTTTGTTTTGATAAGGGGTAGATTAGTTTTTAACGACCTAGTCTCTCCCTAGATCAAAAATGGTGTCGTCGCCTGGGAATGGCATAGATGATTGCTATTGTTGTTGGGTCTATTTCACCTTAATTTCAAAATTACAAAAAGATTTTTCTCTTTAGGCTACATTTGTGGCCGTGCTATTGATATTTGCTTTGAGTTTTTGTATGCGTAGGATAATAGGAAGGAATTTAGTGCCATTTGATCCGCAAATCGATAGAACAATAACAGGATAAGGGTTGTTAATCGTTCTTTTAGTCCAAGATCTCCAAGAGAAGAAATTCACCAAGAAAGAGAAGAGGAGGATCAAGTAAGCATGGGAGATAATCCAAGAGTTTCTTTGAAGAAGTTGTGAACTGCCGGTGCATATAGGTTTGAAAGTGGGATCACATTGCCAACAACACCGGCAAATGACTTTGAAATAAGACCGACCATGATCACTTTCATTGAAAGGATACAATTTAGTGGGGTTAAGATTGAGAGTCCGCTAAACCATCTCAAAGAGCTTGAGAAGTATTGCAACACTATTAAACTGAATGGTGTTTCTCAAAAGTTTATTCGGCTCAAGTTGTTCCCTTTCTCTCTCATAGGTCGAGCTTTGGAATGGTTAGACAATGAGGTCAAGCCAAATTCTCTTAGAACATGGGATGAAGTTACCAAGAAATTCTTTTCTAGGTTCTACCCCCAAAAGAAAACGGCGGAGGCAAGGTCTTTGATCCAAAGTTTCAAACAAAAACCTAGTGAGAGCTTGTACGAAGCTTGGGAAAGGTATAAGGAGTATCAAAGAGAATGTCCCCATCATGGCATCCTAACATATCAAATCATTCAAATTTTCTATGGAGGGTTGAGTCCTCAAGGCAAATCGTACCTAGATGAGGGAGCCGGAGGCCCAATCATGAACAAAACCGAAGACGAGGTTGTGGACATTATAGAAGATGTGGTGCGCCATTATATGGATTGGAAAGAAGGATAAAGAGAGTCTTCAAGTAAGAATGGATCAACGGTTTACTCGGTTAATCACCTTTATGCCATCAACAATATATCCTCTCAAATTGCAAGTTTGGGAAAGGAGATGACAACAATCAAGGCCAAGCTTGAGAGTGCAACTTCCAATGCACAAGGTTATCCCTCCCACATTTAAGGGAGAGGTACATCTTCTAACTCTACTCCTCTTTCAACTTCTAACAATATGCCCAATGGATGCTTGTTTTGTGATAATTGAGGGTCTTATGACCATGATGCTTCCACTTGTTCAAATGGATTTGAAAATCTTGATGATGGTGAGAGTAATGAATGTGAACATGTGAATTTTGCCTCAAACAATAACAATGGTCAAAGGTTTGATGGACCAAGAAACTTTGGAAATAGAAATTCTCACCAACAAGGTGGATTTAATAACTATAACAATGGTAATTAAAGGAACCAAGGAAACCAAGGTTTCTGAGACTACTATAATAACCAAGGTTATGGGAATCAAAACCAAGGCCAAGGGTATGGAAATCAAAGCCAATCTCAAGGCTTTGGTGGCCAAAACAAAAATTTTGGCAACAATCAAAATTGAGGCAATTGGAACAATCAAAATAGGGGGAATTTTCAAAACAACCAAAGGGGACCCCTACCCGGATTTGGTCCAAAATCTCAAGGTGTTGGTGAAAATTCCTATTCTCAATCTTCCAAGTCAAACTTGGAGGAGATGATTGAAAATCAAACAAAAATCTTGAACACCTATATGGCGGTGAGTGATAAGAAATTTAATGAGATCATGACACATAACAAAATGCTTGAGACACAAATCACCCAACTAGCAAACACTTTGAAATATTATGCTAGTCCTTCTTCATTGCCTTCTCAAGGATTTGATCCTAAGAAACCCGTTTATTCCATCACCACAAGGAGTGGAAGAGTTCTTGAATAGAGAGTTTCTAGGGATTGTGAGGAGGACAAGAAGAAAAGTGTTTCAAGTGAGCAAAATGAGGAAGATATGTCAAGTGATGTGAGCAAAGAAGAGAGCCATGAGAAAAAGAAGCGTGATGAGAGAAAGCAAGAGGAAGTGATAAAACCCGACCTCCCATATCCCCAAAAGTTTATGAGGAACAAATTAGATGAATAATTTGGGAGATATCTTGAAATGTTGAAGGAGGTCCATCTTTCTATCCTTCTTACCAAAGCCATGACCCAAATGCCTAGATATTCCAAGTTTCTTAAGGATATCTTGAGTGGCAAGAGAAATTGTAATGAGATAGATTCGGTGGAGCTTGATGAGTGTTGTAGTGCTTTGATTTACAAAGACCTCCCCAAGAAGATGAAAGATCCGGGTAATTTCTCCATTCCTTGCAAAATCAATAGTAAGTTGTTTGAGAATGCTTTGTGTGATTTGGGTGCTAGTGTGAGCATAATGCCCTTCTAAGTCTTCAAGAAGCTAAATCTAGGAGAACTTCTTTCTACCAACATGACTTTGCAATTGGCTGATAGGTCCATAAAATTTCCCAAGGGAAGAGTTGAGGATGTTCCCCTTAAGATAGGTGGTTTTATAATTCCCGTTGATTTTATTGTGCTTGAAATAGAAGAAGATGACCACATTCCTGTTATCTTAGGGAGACCGTTCCTAGATACTTCGGGAGCCTTGATTGATGTTGAGGGAGGTCGTATTACCTTCACAGTTGGTAATAAGAAAGAGAGTTTTGAACTAAAACCAATGCATGAATCCTTATACCTTGTGAAAGGAATCAAGAGTGATGATTCCCTTCGTTCTTTTGATAATGTGTATGTGATTGATTCTTCATCTAACAATGTTTATGATATTTTTGATGATGTGGTTGTGAGTTTTGATTGAATGAAAGTTAGTGAAGATAAGAAGGAGCTTCCAAAGGCTATGAACGAAGAGGAGATTGACATTCCTCATTGGTTTGAGCTCTACCCTCGAGAGGAAGAGGAGGATTCCATGAAGTAGATGGAGTGA